ATCATAACAATAAACTTTCTGTAAGACTTGTTTTGCTATGAGCTATGGCTGATAGCACTATTACCTATTCAGTGAGTATTTTGTTGGATAAATTTTGATACAAAACAGAATCGACAATTGCAGTTTTTATTATACGAAGGAAGATATCATTATGCATCGAGTCATATATAATAGGCTTTTTCTGACGTGACTTTGTTAAAGGTTTTCAATCAATCTTTTTGAAAACAATCCTATTCATGAAATATTTATAACGAATTCGCAATTATCACATGCATATTGAAATCGTCGATGGATGATATGCAAAACTGTACAAGATTCAGACATTGAGAGTCAATTATTAAGAAGTAATATGTATCCTAATCGACTTTTTGAGTGACTTTTCTGGTCATTTCTGTAAGTGGAATTTTTACTGTTTTTCATTATAAGAAACCACTTACCCCACACGCTGGAAAGCTGATGACCCCTTTCGCAGCGACATAATTATTGCTTTTTTATAATTTGTGAAAGGTTTCATTTCTTTCTTTGTGTTGACTGTAATAATTCCAAATAACTTTCATCCATGTTTCTATTATAAGTGTGAGCTATGAATACTCATTTATTGGTGATAAAAGAATCAATTCCTTTGGTCAAAGTATGGCAGAAACATCCATTTTTTTCTGTGGTAAATAAACTTTTAGGGTATCCTATCGTGTGACCCATCGTTGAGTCATGTTAGCACGAAAGAGTTACGTGAACAGCAGACCATGTAAGGGTGTGGGTGTGGGTGTGGGTGTGGGTGTGGGTGTGGGTGTGGGTGTTGGTGTGGGTATGGGTATGGGTGTTGGTGTGGGTGTGGGGTGTGGGGCGTGGGTGTGGGGATTGTGGGTGTGGGTGGGTGTCGGTGTAGGTTTGCCGGCGTGGCTGATCATCAAGTAATAAACAACACTGACACCGGCAGGCACGCGCATACTCCACAGGCATACCCACACCCATAAATAAGACCTTTTCTGCTCGCCACTAAAGAGTATATCGTAACCTTTCTGTCATCTACTATTACTAGGCTGCCGATTGCGAGCGATTGCGTTCCTTCAAGGTTGTGGAATAAATAGCTGGCATACGCTTGCAGAACAAGCCACTTTTCTCGAAAGATTGGAAACGGATCAATGAGATCCTGTCTAATACAGTTGTAGTCAGTTCATAAATCATTCGACTATCGACAGACAGTCATGTTTTCTCTGCATAATCACGAGAGAACATTTTCAACTGCCTGATAGCTTTTATAATGAAACCTACTGGTGTAAGGTTATTGACTATACTGATTGCGCATGTGGGCACTATAAACGCTCTTAAGCCTTCTCTTTGGAGCTCTGGGCATTTTACTGCAATTTTAGCGTATCGTCGGATTTATACCAGCCAATCGAATGAGAGTATTTCGAGATGAATTTGTCCTCAAGAACAGGGTCACTAGTGAGCAAAATATCCTCAAAATTTCAACTAAAAAACTTTTTCTTCCCAAGGTATTATAAACCCAAAACTAAATAATATCATACAGGAAACCTAGAATGTTCTCATTTTTCTGGATTTTAAGGTGAAAGAAAGGAAAGATTCTTTTAGCTGAAATTTTCAAGATATTTTAGTCACAATTGGGCTCATTCGTGGGCAAAGTCTCAGGCCGAAATATTGTCATTCGATTTTTTGGTATGTAACGCACCATCGGCTAAAATTGTAGTGAAATACTCATAACTCTGAAGAGAAGGTTTAACGGCGTTTTTCATGTTCACATTCGAAATCGGCATAGTCGATAGTCTATAATCCAGTAGGTTTCATCTAAAAAGCGATTGAACAGTTCAAAATATTCCTTTGTCAGATCTTTGTGAGGATATAGGTTCTGAAAAGATCTGTCTCCCGGAAGACTCGTTTTTGATGCAACAAAGAGGGGTAGATCGAGTGACCAAATACATGCAGGAGGACAGAAAATCATTCTAGCAATAAAATACATAACATCTTTCCATGTTTAGAACACTCACTTTCGTCTCTTCACTTTGCAGAAGATTGTGATCGCCGTCAAATGAAAAACAAAAGCGACTGGCGGGTTATTTGCGCAGGATAAAAAATGATTACTTTTTTTCTCTTTCTCACTATTTATATGAGAAATAAAATCGATTTTTTCAACAAAAACAGAGCTCATCGACATTTAAATGGATTCTTAGTTTTCAATCAATATTCGGATGGGTGAAATTATAAAGGTTTCATGCAACAACAAAGCAACATTCAGTTTATAGGAATTTTGGGTGTGGATGTGGGTGGGGTGTGGGTGGAGGTGTGGGTGTGAGTGTGAGTATGGGTGTGGGTGTGGATGTGGGTGGAAGCAAGAGACAGACCTACACCTACACCCACACCCACACCCACACCCACACCCACACCCACACCCACACCCACACCCACACCCACACCCCATATCCACACCCCACATCCCACATCCCGTAGAGTAAGAAAGTTATAACTTTATTGATGATCCTCACTCTAATTATGAAGAATGACATTTTCAATGATTCTTGAAGTTCTTGAAAACCATTATTCGTCATTTCTCTTAATCATTTTCAATGGGTGTTGTGGTGACTTGTGGAATCATGAGCTCACCGGCGCGATCAATATTGCGACCACCAATGTCAGCATAAACATCGAAACTACTAGCAATATGATTAACAATGCCAAAAATACCAAGACCAAAGTTAATAGCCGTACGCCGACGCCAAGGCGATTGTTTTGCTATATCGTCCGACACTTCTCGTATCTGTAACTCTAAAAAAAACATAGTGCCATATTCAGACATATCTGTGATATTATAACGATGAAGAAAATAACTGATACCCAGCATCAGTCATCAAGGATGGTGATTTCCGACTCACCATTTTGACGATGTTTTAAGTTCAAATGGATCAAGAACTTTTTCATCGATTCATCGAAGTTCATACGTTCAACTGTGAAGCAAACGCCCGGCATAATCAATTCTTCCTCTTCGTCAGGCATTTGAGAGAATGGTTGCATATCAGCGGTAAACGCGTAGTTTATCTCCATGATGAATATCGCATTAGAACTGAACATGTCAGCGACGTAAATATTGCGACTACATGAAGTAAATGCTTGAAATGAACGGTCATGTTCAGATTGCTGAGATAAATCTAGATAGGTAGCAATTTCAGCATCATTCAACGTCACTCCACGGTATACCAATATCTTCTCTCTGTTTGGTTTTTTGTTCAGTGGATCATCCCACAGAAGTAGAGCGAACGGTCCAAGGGCGGGAATCATACTCCGCCAGTAGTTTTCACGCTCAGCACTCCCGATATATCTCATGGTTTGATTGAGTATTTTATAGAGAAAACTGTCGCTTGTGTATAGTCGAGCACAACACTTCCATACTTCTTCAATTTGTTGATCTTTCTGTTCCATTAGTTGCTTACTGATTCTTTCGGCTTCTTTTTGCTTTTTCACTTCTTTTCCTGCTTCAACGATGCCCAACGCCGCTTTTTCGACAACGATTGGAACGATAGATGGATTTCGCGATGGTAACTGCTGTTTTTCCAATTTCAGATACTTCATAGCTTCCACTATGAACGGTGAAACCCACCCATATCTCTTACCAATCGAAGGCTCGGGAGCCATGGGATCCCAATTAAATCGCTCCGTTCTTGAGCGTCTATCTCTTTCTTGACTGATCACTCGTTTGACAGGACTTCTTGGTTGACTGCGATCATCAGGAATGCATATCATTGCGCTGAAATCGATGCAACAATTGTCGAGTATAACTTGGGTCTCTTTCGCCATGAATGCCTCCTCGATCATCTCATTTTCTATATCAGAATAATGGTACCATTCTTCTGTAATAGATATTGGATCTGTTTTGCCATTTGCTTTCCACATCCATTGAACACGTGATCGTGAGTTGATCACTAATGATGCTTGATGATCCATAGTGGACTATTCAAATATAGTCGCGAGTGTTTCCTTTTCTGAAATTCATGAAATCTGTTTTCTACGGATAGCTTGCAGACGCATGCCGTTTACTTCACTCAGGCTGTCATGAACGAAGATTTACACAGCAAAACGCTTAGCTCCCGTTTTCAAACAAAACGTTCGTGTGCCAAAATTTAGGGAAACCAAATGCTATTAACAAGTTAACGCGACGCAAACGTTGCCAACCCTCTACTGAAAGGATGTGATGCTGCAGAGATTGGGCTATTTGAGCAGGAAAATACAATAACTATTGTGTTGGTACACATACTGGGCTAGAACTCTTTAAAAAACTTCTATCCTATTTTTGGATGGAGCGCATCGAATTGTATTGGGAAAAAAAAGTTCGACTTTTCTAAAGCTGTCGCATGGAAGAAACTTGTGAAGACTATCATATACGAGAATGATAAAAAAAGAGCCTAAATACTGACCTGTACTAAGCCCTTTCTGATCCGTAGCACATTATATTCTTGGATCGAGGTCTTTCCTTCTCACTTGACATTGAACTTAGACAAATGGTAGAATCTTACGCATACGAGGCTAAGTTTCTATTGTTTTTCGAAATTTAATGGTTCTTGAGAAAAGCTAAAAACATTAACCAAGAAACGTAATGTTTTATAAAGCGAGAAAAAGTTCACATCAATCAATATATGATTTCATAGTTTCGCAAGACACTCCACAACAACTATAAAGAGTCTTTCACCTGCAAGAAAATTTTAGAAAGAAGTGAAGCTATCAGCAACACAACTAGATGAACTCAATAGATGAGCCTTGATTGCGAAAAACACTCCAAAAAATTTTGTTTCGATTGTTTAGAAAATTGAGCTTTTACTACTGATCTTATTTCGTTTTAAGATGTGAACAATAGCATATTTTATATCTACAACATTATTTCTTTCCGCTCGTTTCTGGTTTCTCTCTTACCTCTTACTCCTGTTTGTATAAATAGTCGATTCAAAAAACCCTTCATGAATAAATTGTTCCATAAAGCAAAGTTGCTAGTAACAAATTACTCTAATTTTTCATGAAAGAAATCGAATATGTATTTACTGACGTAGTATGTAACTTCAAAACAGTTTCGCACATACTTTGCCTTTGGCATGTACCATACTTCGTCTGAAGTCGCATTATGGATAAAATACTTTCTCTGATGATGTTGTTTCAAACTCAAATTTTTGTGATTCAGTGTCTTCTTCAACAAGATACTCGGAAACGCTTTCGATTCACTGTCTAAAATAGAACTTCAACGGTACTCTGACCTCAGAAAAGCCATCTAACTCAAAACAAAAACTCTATGTTGCATCCTCGAAATGTGTTCATTTCACTCTTCTAGTCTATAGATCATTTATAAGACTTCTGCGAACTTCTACTTTAAATAAAAGCTATAGAACTAAAAAGAAAATGAAAAAATTTAAAGTATGTTAGCAAACTGCATTGATACGAAGTTATTATCATTTGTGCATTCAATCAATATGCTAAGCAGCGCATGGGAATTATTCACTAAAATACAAGTCTAATATGACACGCATCATATCTAACCGATTCGTTGAGGTTTTCACAGAAGGCGACTAGTATTAAAGCAATTTTCTTAGCGATGTCTACTCTATGGCTGAGAAGTGTTCTTTCAATCGACACCTTCATAACTAACGCACAAAGGAGATCCGTGAATGAAGACAACAAATTGAGCCTCATTTGAAAAAAAAACTTCCATAAGCAAGTAGCAAAATAGGATTAGCCCTCACATATGATTAAAGTTGCACGAAAACAAAGATACATCTCGATCCAATAAGTAATACAACCATATTCGAATCTACACTTTCAGTTTGAAATGCATTCTACTATCCGTCTTTTCTTACAATGCCATACTTCTACCAACTCTTGGGGATATATATGCATATAGAAAAATGAAATGTTGCTATCGTCCTTCACTTTCAAAACCATTCATGTCATGTTCCCCATCACCACACACATATATAAAACACATCCAGCTTCACACATCAACAACATTCAACAGACTGAAATCCATGCGGTAAACAACTTCAAACACTTAGAACTAAGCATCCTACTGGTCAAAGTGATACGTTCGCTTCATGAGGCGTACTCACGAACTCCTACGCTAACATTGAGCATGGAACCACTTATCACTATCTTCACTAGTTGGTCTTCAAAACTCACCTTCTACAAATCCAAATCTAAAACTGCATGATAAATTCATCCACATCCTTAGAATTTCATTTTCTCGCACCATAGCTTCAAAACACCAGATTGCTTCGAGTACTACACTGCGAAGTTTCCTTCACCAACAACCCGCTCCGCAAAATGCCAGATTCAGCCAATTTCATCGTCTCGCAATATTCTTCGTTGATGGCCCTTATGGAAAAACTCGTGATGGACTCAATTTGAATTGTGCCAAAACCTATTGATTACGAGCCCAAATCGAAAATCTCTGATTGGGCCGATTTTGGCTTTGCGAAATTCTATTGGCTAAGAGTCCAAATCGAAATACCTCTGATTAGGGGTGTACCCAAGGGGGAAACAGCTGATTATTTGATTAGGAGTGATTAGGAGTTGATTAAGGGTGATTAGAGGTGATTAGGAGTGATTAGAAGTGATTAGGGATGATTAGGAGTGATTAGGGGGTGATTAGAGTGATTAGGAGTGACTAGGAGTGACTAGTGAAAGCCCGTGCATACTGCACGGCTGTTTCTTGTCTCTGCAAAGTTTCGCATCTATGCTTTAACGTTGACCCAGTACAGACAATCACACACTTTGTATTGTATACCAAGACCTTCTAATCTTATCCTCTTGTAGCTTTACACCCTTATAGCCTTCCCTCCTGGGAGCCTTAGTTCATTCTAGCCTTCACGCCTTATCGTCTTATAGCTGGGTATACACCGATGGACCGATAACAGCAGTTGACATTACACAGGCGTTCGGGAGGGCTATTCTGTACACGTATGCATAAGACTTCCAAGCCTGTCCTAAGGGGGTATCTGCAATTCTTCACATCTATACTACTGAAGTATCCATAAGCTTTCAAGGCCTATGTTATTGCAGTATACATAAGTTCTCAAAGGCTATCCCAGGGGTACTTCCAAGTCCTCATGACTAATCCTATGGGCGTACGCAAAAGTCATCAACAGTTATCGTATAGACATTCCCATTAGTACATGCATGACACATACATTTCATGGGAGTTGGCCTGCTGACCCGTTCTTGACAGTGAGGGCTTATGAATGTGTCCACAGCATAGACTTTGACCACTTATGGATTTGCATTTCATAGGATAGGCCCTGAGAACTTATCGTTACCCTTATAGGAAAGCCGTTAAGGACCCATGGGCACCTTCATATAATAGCCCTTGTGGATCCATGGGTACCACTATAGTATAGGCTTTGAGGGCCCATGGGTACCTTCATAGTATCGGCTATGGGTAGGCATGCACCAAACCCAAACTCAAATCCAAACAGTTTGGGAGTTTGGGTTTGGGTATTGAGTTTGGGTATTGAGTTTGGGTTTGAGTTTGAGTTTGGGCTTGGCTTCAATACTAAGACTACTTAAATGATTTATTTTTGAACTTGGATCTATATCTATTTACCTTATTGTCTTCCTATATTTGTTTCTAACTTATAACTACTATTCAAAAAAATAGAAGTCAACTTTAAATTAGACTAGAAAGAGCTAGTATTTGTAACTTTTTTGGAATTATCTTGGATTTGTATTCATAACTTTTTAACGGCTACTCGGATGTGATGCTTGTAACTTTTAAGGGCTATTGGGGGTCAAGGGAGAAACAACGGACTGTCGACTCTGAGAACT